GTCCTCTTCTTCAGAGCTCCGAGGAAGAATGACCTTGCCCTCGAGACAGATCAGCAGTATGCACTATTGAGACAGTGACAGTTGGTCATCTATATTTAGAGATTTGAGGGGATCCATACCTGGATGGATGCTGTATTTTGAAGTAATTTATCAATGAAGCTGGACTTAAGTATTGGGAGAGTAAATTATGCTCTTCCCAATACTGCTGGTTTCCCATGCCGAATATATACCAAGAGCTGATTGATCATGTATCCACTGGTCTTCTTCCTGCAGAGCGGTGACTGGCAGTTCATGGCTCCTCATGGGGATTTCCCCTCTCTGTTCCTGTTCCAGCACTTATTGGAGGCAAAGACAGGGAAGGGGACGTGCACAGCTGGTTCTGGCTCTAAAGAGGCAAATGCAGCTGTCAATCAGGCAGCGGGCTGGATCCCCACAATATGGCCGGGATCCTTTCCAACTGTGGCTCGGCTCTGCGCCAGTGTTTTTATGACAAAAAGCATGAAACATTAGTTCTACTTTAACTAACCTGGTCCTGGGGTTTCTGTAAACCTTCATTAAAGCTCCTGTGATATCATCTCAGGAGCAACAGGGAATGAGGGATCGAAGAGGGCGCCTGCACCACTTCTTTCAGAAACAGGGCACCCCACTCTGCTGAAATGCAGCCATGCCCACACCTCTCTCAAAGGTGTTATGGACAGCACTGTGCTGGCACTGATGAGGAATCAGTGTTGTCACCCTGTTGGGAGTCCAAGGCACTGGCAGAATTGCCAGGCATTTACGAACGGTAAGAAGTAGCAAATTGAAATGCTGTTGGTTGGTTTCTTTTAAAGGTAATGTTTCAGTGGTATTTTTTAGGATTGTTATTTTTTTCCAGCAAAGTAATCTCATCATATTGGATGAATACATTCTCATCTGCAGGACTAGCTGATCACACATGGTTGAACATGATGTGCATACCATAAAAATATTAAAGAAGCCGGAAATTTAAGAACATTTTAGACCCAACAGTTACAAGTGGCAGAGCATTACAAGCCATATCATTGTAGATTGGAGATACAGCCTAATCTTTAGTTTGACAGGACTTTCTGGTTACTCCTCTTCATTCTACAGCTCCTCTATTAGATCTCTGGAGACACTGAAAACCAATGAACTCCAACTGTGACTTTACACTCCCAATTGTATGTTGCAAGTTGGTTTCTTACAGGCAGATTTCAGGTATGTTGCAAGTTGGTTTCTTACAGGCAGATTTCAGGTATTTGACTGCTTTCCTTCACTCATAGTAACTAAACAAATTTTCCAGGCTCAGTTTGTGCCCTCATCTTCCTTTGCGGATGCCCTCCAGTCTCACTGGTCTTCCTCTTCCTATGTGCCCAGTGTCCTCTCTCCTCAACCACTCTCCAGTTTCCTCTGTTGTCCTACATCTACCCTTACACGTATTGATCTGTGATCCATGTACCAGCATTTACAATAAAGCTATTTACCATCAATTAAAATATTTACCGGTGCAACACACGCAGTGTCGAATGAAAATACGATATTCTGAACACTTTTATAATTTACTCAATCTATATTATGACCAGTTGTCTAACACAGGTACAGATGTTTGGGAGTGCAATCAGAATTATTGAACCAACTCCGCCACAGCCAATCAACTTGACAGCACCAAATAAAATCGAAAGTTCACCAAATCAACGGAATGGGGGTGCTGTGAGATTCCTATTCAATGAGATCATTTTAGTCATATTAAATCGATTGAATTTATGAAACAGCTCTCTAGTCTCCACTGTGCTTTTCCTCCACTGCATACACTCCTATTCTGAATAAAAAAATGAGAACACAAGGAAATGAATCATGTATGCACAATAGAAATTCACAAAGCACTAACCACATTTTAAAAATTATGCATAAGCAAATTCTTTAACGTGTGTGTGTGTGTGTGTATATATATATATATATAAAAGTATGTGTATATATATATATATATACACACATACACACACACACACACACACATATACACATACTACACACCAGAGCTGGACAAATCCCAGGAGCCAGGTAGTCAATGCTCTAAACAGTTTATAGTTGGCATCTAACTTTTAAGGTTTTCACTACTTGTTGTCAATGGAGCTGTGCCCAAAAAAACAACAACTGCTGGCTCCTGGACTGGACTGGACAGACTGGTTTCTGAATGTTAAATATATTTGTCTACCCCCGACACACACACACACAATCAAGGTAACTTCTTTCAAACATGACTGGCTTTTGCTGTGGAACAGTCAATGGTCCTAAAGCTGGCCTTGCAGTGTGACAAAAACAGGTAAAGCAGGTACACAGTCCTTACCAAGTGAAGGTAAGACATATGCAGGTAAAATAAAGTCTGGATAAACAAGTTGTCCTGTAATACAATGCTTTTACCTGTGGTTTAGACAAAGAAGATTGTATGTGAAGGAATCTGTAATTCCTCCTAAGAATCATGAATACAAATTGCATTAGAACATCTGCTGTGCCATTCAGCCTGTTAATCACAAGTACAAATACCGTTCACTGAAACTATACATTTCTTGGATGGAATAGTTTTATCTTGTGCATTAAAAAAGGGAAAAGTTCAAATGCCACTAATATATCTCCATATCTGAAAAAACAATATTGTGCCGAGCTAATAATCATACATATCTAATAAATTAAAACATATATAAATGAGTCACATATATGAGCCTTCAAACAAATAAATCTCCATATCTGTTTCTGAACAAGTTTCCATTCTTCAGTACACTCATGTTTGGGAATGCCAGCCTTCTTATACTACAAAATGGCTGTACAGCGTGGGAGGAGGAATCTACGGATTTGTTCTTATTCAACCCTTGGGCTGAAAGAGAGAAATCTATGCAGGTATGGCTAGCCTTACATTCTAAAAAGAAATACAATTGTTCTATTTTAATTTCTGGTACAGCACAAAACTCTCAACTTAGACCCCCATCTGTTCTTCTATGATGCAAAGAGCACATACCTTAGTCCAGATAAGCCCAACCTGTGGTCCTGATCCTGTGGGCCTTTAAACTGACAAAAAACATCAGAACATGGACAAATCCTAGCTGCAGAAATGCAGGGCTCCACTGCTCCAGTCTCCGTTACTGTCTCACATGGAGACGTATTTAGCAGGAACTGCGGAATACAGTAGAATTTCAAGTATAGAAGTTGACACCACTTAATTACAAGTGCATGTCTATGTCCTAACTATCCTCCAAAGGATATCGGAATAAAATCAACAGAATCTGTCATTTGTGCAACACAATTGTACCATGCTCATCAGGTTTTACTTCCTTCTATATGTCACTATAAAACTGTGTTTTGTAATAAAAACCGGATATTTGACCACCTACAAATATCTGCAATGTATTAATAAACAAGCAGTTACCAAATAAAGTATTCCAGACTGTATATTTTATACTATCATATATCACCAGCATCCAATTAAAATAGTTTTCTCCAATATAATTCTATTATTAAAAGGTCATGGCAGTGGCCTATTCTACATCATTCTTTGTGCTCCACTGGGTAATGACTTTTTAGACAAAGTGAGCCAATAGTGTGACTGCCGGTAGATGCTCATGTCCTTACTTCTCAACCTGGAGCTCACATTAACCCTTGCATGTTGCTCCATAGCTTTAGGATACAAACTTTTTCATTGTATATTACAAATCGCCTCTAAAATCCCAAAATATAGCTTCTATCTTGAACTCCACTACAGTCACTACAATTAGTAGGAAGCCACACAAATCCAATAAAGCGTTGTGGCACAAAAATCAGGGAAGAATGCAACAAGGTAAATTATATAAAAGCATTAAAAAAAAAGACTGCCAAGAACATCACTAATCAGCTTTCGCTCCAAACGGACTGCGTGAATAAGAACATTAAATGCAAATGACTACATTTTAGACTGTATTCTCCACTATAAAAGACAATTCTGCCATGGTCTGTTCTATGCCCATGTGGACAAATAAAAAGATTGTGCCAACCCCATCAAATTCAATAGCTTCTATAAAGAGAGCAAGATAAAGCTATCAACGGAACAAACCATCCAAGGCCAACTGCTGGATCCTGAAAAGGCACACAAGCTGAACAACATCCCTAGAAGAATTCAGCGGTAATGAACTAAATAGACTGCCAGTACACAATACTTCCAGTGCTCATTAGGGATTTACTGCAGCATCAAACAGACTCCAGTCAACAATTCTCTAATGCTTTATAAGAAATAAGCACAAACCAAAATGTCTTCGAGGATGTGCAGCAGGATTTTCCTTGATGCTACAATATTACCTAATGTGCTTTGGAAGTCTCGTGCTTGGTTAAACTTACTACAATGTACCTGTGACATACCGTAGGTGCAAGCTAAATTTATGCGAAATACAGAACCAATCGTACCTCTACTTACATCAGATCAAATCAAACAGGTAATTGCTAATTAGTTGCCATGGGTACATTTCTTCAGTTGCCTTGTACATTGCTCTTTTCTCTATTACATAACCTGGGGGGTGTCTCTAATTATGTAAACATAACTGTTCTTTCCCAGTTTCTGAAAATCACAAAATGTACATCCAATACCTTCAGCACATTAATAAATATCAAAATTGCTCTGCGGTTACATATGCTATGCCATTAACATATGAATTCCATAATCTGCAAAATGCTCTGCCTTATTCAAACAAGGCATTTAACCAGCTAATAATAATGTTTAATAATTCCTAATTGACTAGGCCCAAAACAAGCAATTGTTGTGGGATGACTGAAAACTGCAACTCATTAACATTACGCATAAGCAAAATACTTCCCTGTAACGGCAGCAGGTCAGATCAGGATGATCAAGTCCTGATATGTTAAACCTTGTAAACCAGATACCTAAAGCTTAAGACTGTCTTTCCAATATAGGGAAAGTTATGGGACAGAGGACTGTTTCCAATATAAGGACAGTTGTGGGGCTTGGAACTGTCTTGGGGTCACATTATTTATGTTAATTTAAGATATGACCAATACATAATTCTTGTGCAATTAGCTTGTGAAGCTTCTTTACAGACCAACGATTACAAACTGTAGAAGAAACAGTTCTCTGTGCGTTCTTGTACAAGTTTACCAAGATTTGTTTGATGTGATTTTCAGTGCAAATGGTAAATTCCTTCTAGAGAAGGAGATTGTACAACAGAAGGGCTTCCTAGCATGTAGGGTCTGGATAGACATTTGAAGTATCATCTCTTCTGGATTTCTTCATCTATGCTCTCTGCCCTTCCCATGGTGTCCTGAACATTTGGCTGGACCTGCTGCACGGTTTCTTCAAGGCTGCTGTTAGGAAACACCACATAACGTGCAGTGACCCCATGGTTCTTCGGTCCTCGCAAGTTCTCTTTGCTGTGCCAGATGCCATAGCCAAAGTAAACAATGAGCCCTGCAAACATACAAAGAGGTTAGGAAGATGCAATTATTTTAATTCCTGCAAAGTTGCATGGCATCAGTAGCTATCAAAAGCCTATCAATGAAACAGAATACCGAGTAGATACCCGTTTCTCGTCAGTAATAAAGCAATGGCCTGGACAAATGGGTGATAAAAGGAATTAATGGGTGAAACTGAAATCAATATTTAAAAAAAGGAAAATGTTTTAAATTTATATTTTTTTGGTTCCATTCAGTGTTAAATAAAAAAAGGTTATACAATAGCTATAATCCCAATGCAGGAGCCAAAAGGGTCACTGTATATGGCAACTTACTAGATGGGTAAATGACAATAGTAAACAGATTTCAACAAAAAAGTGTCAGTGTAAATATCTAAATCAATAGGAACAGATAACAGAGGTGGTTTGGAGTTGGAATAGATATGGAATCATCTCTTTAGCAAAGGAGAAACTTCAATTTCCCATCAGCAGTATTGGAAGGTTCACACAAATCAGAGCTCAGGCACAGCTACCCCTCTGCTCTCCTTCTCAGCAAGGCACAGATAGGGTCTGGTAAGATATGGTTTGGTTGGCATGCAAGCACAATGTGCTCAGCGCAAAGGTGAGAGGACTTTGCAAAGACAGATGTCTGTGCAATCTAAATATTTAGTACAAGCCTACAGAAAACAGCGCTTCTTGTTTGGCAAGCAAATAATTTAAAAGCAGATAAGGAAATGGTGGTGGTGGTGCAGTCTTAACTTCTGAACAATATAAATGGTTGTATTGTGCAAACTAAACAATACATAGTGGGAAGTAGGGATGCACCGAAATTCCACCTGCCAAAACACTTCGGACGAAAATGGTACTTTGGGTAAAATGCCGAAAGTACCATTTTTTTTACCGAGAATGCAGTGCACCTCTAAGTTCTCTCCTCCCCACTGGGTGCTGCTCTATCACAGAGCAGTGTCCAGGGGAGAAGAGAGAGACTGTCAGGAGGCCGAGCGGGACGGGGAGGAGAGCCCTGTCAGTGGTGTCACGGAAGGCCGAGCTCTCCTCCTGCCCCGCTCAGCCTCCTGTTACAGGGGTCCGATAACCCCCTGATATTTCACAGAAGCCCCCAACAGTTAAGTAAAAAAATATAGATTTTAAAAAATTAATATATTTGAGTTCGGCCTGACAAATGTTTTTTTTCCGGTTTCAGCCTGAAAATTCCATTTTGGTGCACTTCTAAAAAAAAAAAAAAAAAAAAAAAAAAAGGAAGTTTTTTTTTTTTTTTTT